TCACCATGAAGCTCGTACGTGACATCAAGTCCACTTGCTGTCCCTCTACTCCTTGGCAAACAAGCTCAAACAATTCAAGCTCGTTCTCGATTGTCGACTGCTGACTGCTTTGACCAACTCACTCTCATCCTTTATCTTGACTTCAACCGTTCAACAAGGTCCTTGCTTAAAGATTATCCCCACAACATTTGCCTATAATAATAAGATTACTTTTATGTTGGGTTGAATTAGACTTTGGATTTAAGGCTTGGAATGGAAAACTATATGGACAAAGTTTGATGTATATTGTGTGTTTGATTAAACGCTTCAAAAAGATTTTTAGTTGATTTGTATTATTTTGCAAGATTATATGTATTAAATAGAATTTATTTGATACATACCACATGTTTGATTAAATGCTTTAAAAAGATTAGTGGTCGACTTGTATTTTTTGAAAAAATTACATCGCAATGTCCATCGCCGATGCAGTCTGTGAATGATATAGAACTCATAATAAGCTATATTTTATTCTAAAAGAGCCATGACTCTTTATGATATATTGTAGCTCTTACGATATATTGTAGCTCATTGTATGAGAAGTATAGCTCTTTAATGTAAAACATAGCTCTTTATGGACAAAATATAGCTTTTTATAAAAAATGTATAGCCGTTTATATGAAACATGTAGCAGTATACTTTTCAAATAAAGAGTTATACTTTGCAATGAACTTATTAAATAAAGAGCTACACTTTCTCAATAAAGAGCTATACAACTGAATAAGGAGCTACACTTTACAAATAATGTGTTACATTTTGGCATATAGCGCTATACTTTGCTCAGATATATTGTATAAATAAGAGCGGACTTGGCGGTTATAAAAATTGAACAAACAACATGCTATATATGGCCACTCAATTTTATTGATCAAAAAATTACCGACTTGATTTAGTTTCTGTATTTTTAGAGATAACAAAGAGCTATACTTTAGCTATAATGACCTATACTTCTGCTACAAAGAGCTATACACTTGTATAAGGAGCTACACTTTGCAAATAAGGTTTTCGGCTTTCATATAAAGTGAGCTACACTTTGCCAATAAGGTGTTACACTTTCACATAAAGTGCTACATTTTCCAAATGTGGTGTTATGCTTTCACATAAAGTGCTACACTTTGCTCATTCTATAAATGAGAGCACAAATAAAGGTTATAAATAATTGAACGAATAACTATATACATGGTTACCCATTTTTATTGATCAAAAAATTACTAATCGATTTATTTTTTGTATTTTAGAGATAATAAATAGCTATACTTTATCTATAATGAGCTATACATCTGCTACAAGCTATACAATTGTATAAGGAGCTATACTTTGTAAATAAGGTGCTACGCATTCAAATATAGTGCTACACTTTGTTCAGACATTCTATAAATGAGAGTGAAAGTGAAAGTTATAAAGAATTAAACAAACAACTATATACATAGTCACCCATTTTCATTGATGAAAAATTACTGACTTGGTTTAGTGTCTGTAATTTTAGAGACAATAAAGCGTTATACTTCAACAATAATGAGCTACATTTCTGCTACAAAGAGCTAAACAATTGTGTAACAAGTTACAGTTTACAAATAAGATGCTACGCTTTCACATAAAGTACTATACTTTGCTCAGACATTCTATAAATGAGAGTGCAACTGGAAGTTATAAAGAATTGAACAAACAACTATTTTTATTTATAAAAAGATTATTGATCGATTTATTTTCTGCATATTCAGAGACATTAAAGAGCTATACTTTATCTATAATGAGCTACCCTTCTGCTATAAAGAGCTATACAATTGTATAAGGAGATACACTTTTGAAACAAGGTGCTACGCTATTTGCATAAAATGCAACACTTTGCTAAAACATTGTATAAATGAGAATGCAATTAAAAATTATAAAGAATTGAACAAACTACTATATACATAGTCATCCATTTTCATTGATCAAAATTAGTGACCATCCATTTTCATTGATCAAAAAATTAGTGACTATAAAGTGCTACACTTTTCTCTAAGAATGACAATAGTATCAACCATTTATTCAAAAAATTGAAAATAAAACTCTAACTAAATCACCATAATATCAACCTCTCACAAAGGCATACAATATGTACAATTAGAATACAATTTTGCCACTTCCTCCCAGACGTAATACATACACATAACCCTCAATCGTCGAATTCCACAAAATCAAACTTCTTTTAGACATTTCATCAAACACCTCTATTGCCTCCTCAACCAACCTCAAACATCGCATAACTACTAATCATTGTGATCCAAATAACTATTCCTCTTGTCATTCCATCAAACACCCGTCGTGTATCAACCTTGTCACCAAAACTTGGATACATATAATCAAAATTGTTATGCACATGACCTATCTTGAAGCACAAGCTTAGCAAGAACCCCCCAGTTTATATCAGTGAGATATATTCGACAAGCTATTGCCAAAAACCCAAACTTTTAGAATGTAAACAATTATCATATATAAATTTCCCATCATAAGACTCAAGTTTTCTCAAATGGCAAAAATTATTGTTTAAAACTTAAATTTACCTCAAAATCCTTTTTGACTGATGTTGTTGATAGCCTTTACCTATGAAAAGAGAGATCTCTCGTCGAGTTGCACCAAAACAAGAGGAAGGGAGGATCGTGGCGCCAACCAAGAGAAGGGATTGACAACATTTGCGCAAACGAGAGGGATCAAGAGTGATTTTTTGTCACTTTTGGGAATCGACTTCTTACGAATTATGGGATTTGCTTCTTAGGGTCATTGGGTTTTTTGAAATAAGGAGTCTTGGTTTATTATTGGGGAAGAAGAAGAAGGGCAATTTCGGGATCTAGAGCTATTTTTAGAAATATTGTATGAAGTTTGGAGGTATTATACAGTTTGGGTTTAAAAATAAGTGGTTGAAAATCTTTAGGTGTATGAGTGTTTATGAAAGAGGATGGGTTTTTTTAACAAGTGGGTTTAAATTTTGGGTTACAAACAAAAAAGCCTTATATAAATTACATTATTTGTATTTATTATGTACTAATATTGAGATTAATTAATCAAATTCATATTATTAAAATATTATTAGTAAAATATTATTATTTGTAAAATAATTAATTAATTAATTAAAATTTTGATTAAAATATTTTTATATATTAATTGTTTGAGAGTATTAATTACTAATATTGTAATAAACTAATTAATTTCATATTAATAAAATATTTGTATTAATAAATAAATTACTTAATATATGAAAATAGTTTATCTCATAGTAATAAATACATTTTATTGAAATATATTTATATATTACTTCATTTTTATTATTAATTAGTAATATTGAGATTAATTAATTACATATTAATAAATAATAATAAATAAATAAAATAAATAAAATAAATATATTAATCAATTTATAATAAGAATATATTTAACTAAGTAAGTGAATATAAGGGTATTTTTGTCTATAGGCCAAAATAAGGAAAGCTCTTGACAAACAGAGAAAAAATAAGTCAGGAAATCCTAACTTTTTTTTTGCCCACTTATAATTAAAAAATAAGTAAAATAAATAACATTTATTAAATATCACAATGGAACCTTATAAGTAAAAAAGCTACTTATCATATCATATCATACTCCGTTTAAAAGAGGGAGTTGTGGAAAAACTTTCTGTGGACTATATTACCCCTATTCTTGTTTGATATTATATTCTAATCCTAACTAAACTAAATTAATTATTATTGTTAATTAATTATATTATATGCCACTTCAAGTTTGTCTAACTTAGTTCCTAAAACTTCCAATATTATTGTTGAACTCTACATCATATTAATTATTACTAATGTATAATAATATATTAATAGGCAAATTGCATGTTAATAAACTATTCGTGGAAAGAAAAGAAAACATAGAATTATTCTAAAATTGTACCCTGACACTCATATAGGAAACTTACAAGGAGTATTCTTGCGTTTAGGTAACATGACAGAAGGTACAAACATTTAGTTTTAGAAAACATTAGGATATTTAAGTGTAGCATGATACAAGTGGAAATATATAATGTAGGTTGTCTAAAAATAATAATAGATAGCTGATTCTCCACCAAACACTGATGACGGAAGTTACAATCTGGCGACTTTCAGAAAGCTACAATTTGAAGACTTTCACATAGATGATGAAGGTTACAATCTGACGACCTTCACAACAACTGATGAAAGTGAAGGAAATCGTGCTATATCTACATGCATAATACACAGCGGAAGACATGTATGTACAAAAATACTAAGCATGTAGAGAGCATGAAATATTCATATGGATCGTCTAATTAAATCTAACATGATCCTTATTATTAAGTGAGCATACAAGAGTTAGAAAGTCATACTTTCGTAGCGTGATTCGATGGAAGATCGAATAACCCCTAGCTCTTGCTCCTTGTAGTAGAAAATATCCTCGTAGTGGATCTCCAAGTCTTCAAGTGGGCTTGATAAAATGAGAGTCTTCTCAAGACACAAGGCAAGATATCCACCCCGGGGTTGTAAGGACCATGAATTTTTAATACTAGTTAAAATAATTTTTTAGTATTTTAAAATATTAAATTATTATTTTAAAAAGAGTATTCGTATTTTTCTTGAATTTCTACAATTTTCTATGATTTAAAGTCTAAGTTTTATATTTATTTAAATGATATTAATATTTATAAATTAATTTTATGCGATGAAAATTTATGGAATTTATCTGTTGCGTTATCGATGCTGTTACATATCATTTTGAATAATACGTTGTATTATTTTTATTATTACGTATATTTTCGTATAATACGTTATATTATTAATTACATATTATTTATATAACTAGTTTTCATGCCCGTGCAAAGCACGGTTATTTTATAACTTTACTTTCTTAAACGTGTAAGCAGATTCATTAATAAAGCTAATCATTAATCAGTTAATATTACTAATAAAACTAATCATTAATCACTTAATATTACTAACAGTCAACCCATAAGCTTATTACTATCATTACCAAACATGAATATTACTCATAATCAACTAATAAGCTTATTACTATTATTATCAAACATCTAAATTTCATATAATTCTCCCACATTAGTAACAAAAAGATCTATAATACTACAAATTAAAAAAAAATGCATTCCGCTAACAACAAAATCCTCAAGTTACCCAAACTACCTAGTAATCCTCAAGTTATCCAAGTCAATGTCAATAATTAAACAAATTGCCAAACAATTACTAACGCACAATCAACTTTCTTCATGTCTACACAAAATTTTACCCAATTAAACCACACAATAAAATTACTCCAAGCAAACCAAAGAAACCCCTTTATCAAGTCACTATTGAATTAATCCTCAACCAACATATTTGACATGCTTTAACTTAAAATTAGCAAAATTTTTGACATAGTAAACTGTACAGCTTGGAACGCAAGATTTTCTTTCTGCTCTTTTTGACTTCTGACAACCTCAAGAAATTTTATGTGCTTTAGCGATAATGCTTTCTTATTATTAATCTTCAGCTTGTAATTCTGATGGATTGTCAATCTTAAACTTGACCTGAAATAAGCATCAACCAATAAATTAAATATGTGTGTCCTAGAGTTGAAAATAAGCATCTGGGACAAAGTAAACTAATTAAAATTAAACGGTGCTCTGCTTAGTAGCTTCGATATAGAAATTATAACAAAATCAAAGAATATTTGATGCGAAACAATGTGATGCAGGTATGAAGATTAATGACAACAATGCTTCGCCAAATCAGCGATCGATCTAGGCAGGAAGCTCAGGAATAAAATGTAGCCTTCGATGGATTTTAAGCAAAAGTTGTAATGTACTAAGTTCAAATCTTTGTAAATGATCCAGAAAATAAATGTAATGATTCGTTCTCTCAATACAGTTCAATTTGTAATATTTAGATAAGCAGACATACTTGGCAACAGATTCGCTCGCTCACTTAATCAAGTTGAATACAGCACAAATACGCTTGATAATAATATTGATAGCAACATGCAAGCAATAGCAGTTCCGTAAATAATTGGGCGAAAGAAAGTTGAACCTTCGTCGGGTTGAACTGGTTCGACGGGAGGATCCTCTGGAGGTTGTTCAACAACGCCAAATATGAGGGGTGGAAGCTCTCCACCGAGGGCGGCGTAGTTAGGATGGAGCGGTGTATCTGGATGGAAACGCCGATGCCACGAGCTGATTCCCAAACTACTCTCTACACTGTCAGCGATATAAGGAGTCACACGCCTAACATACTCGGGCACGCTCTCGAATGACTGATAATCGAACCACGGGGAAAGTTGTAAATCTACGATGCCGGTCTCTGGATCTAGCACGATTCCATCATCAGCATCAGGATCAGCCATACACCGACAAAGCTCATAAACCGGATCTAACCTCAATAACAATAAGGAGAGGGGAAAGATTTGTCTCTTGTGGGAGTACTGTTCACAGAATATAATAATAGACGCAAGGGGGTTTTCTGGAATTATTCACGGAACAAAAAAATGCAGAGGGAACGGATCGTGGGGAGAAAAAAAAAGGAGCCGGTGGATGGGGTTTGTTGACAGAGGCAGTATCGGAGCCGGGCCCCCCAGGACAGGGGTTGGAGCGTCGGAAGGGGAGACTGGGCCGGTTGGAGGTGGGGTGCAGACTGGGGATGTTGAAGTAGAGGCAGCGGAGTCCGGGCGAGTGGAGCGGGTTACGAAGCGCGCGGGCGTCTGCCGGCGTTGCTGGAGGTGGCGCGAGGTGGGGACCGGATGCGATGGAAGAAAGGATCTTGAGAGTTTGATGATGGCAGCCGGTGCTGGTGGGGAAGAGAGGAATGGTTGTTTGACTGTGGATTGTTTGGAGGAGGAAGAGCGATATGAACAGTAACCAATTTTTTTTGAGAATTTCTATTGAACATGGTGCTCCCGTTAGAATGAGAGAACGAATTTACTGGCTAGGTTTCACGACCACATCAAGCAAAGTGTAAATTTTCATTTGCTCTATTCTTTCACATGATTTGCAATCCGTTATTACAAGAGAGCTTAAATAAAGAAAGACTTAGCAGACTTTGGAAAATACTCTTAATCCCTCAAATCTTCATCTCGATCGACCAAATATACAACGCACTTAACTTAATTAGCTGCCACCTGAAATTTGAATGTCGATACAAATTTTGGAAATCTCCAAGAAAAAAATTTCAGTACTTCACAACTGCATTTATTACAATTAAAATTAAAACCTAAGTGCTGCAACTGGCGTCCCTCTTCGCTGATAAACTCGGCGAAAATCTTCGAACGGGCTGGTGTGCGGAATGTCCCGCATCATTCTCATCCCGGTGGAAGAACTCGAGGCCGCTGTCGAGTGTAAATCAGAGCGGCTGTCATACTGCTCAAGAAGACTCTGGATCCAGCCTCTGTAAGTAATCCCTATCCGAGGCCAAGTGTCATCTGACTCAGGGTTCGCTCCTTGTCCAACGTACCACAATACCTGCGGATACGCACCGAATTGCTAGTAGAGAACAATTTTGTTCATCCCAATCAATAATATGTATCAATGGTCATGTGCTGTAATATGTGGGTGATATCTGAGGAGTGGAGGTAAAGGGGGAAGCTCCTCTGAAATTATTGGAGACTTACAGCGGGATATCGTTAGCTCATCATTTTATCAAAGTTCTCAGTAGGGTTGTCAGGGTTAATAGTAAAATGTGGCGCTTTGTATCTACTAAATCTTGCAATATTAAAAGTCCGAACGCAATATTAAAAAAACCTTCTTGGAGAAGGTGCGAGAACATAAGCATTAATCATTAATTTTCTTTGAGAATTGTTAAAAGGTCTGCTGGCACTTCGCGCATCTTCGCAACTTTTTAAACAGCTCCGGGAGGAACGTTCGCGGACGTATCCGAACCATAATAGTAACCTTAAGCATTAAAATTCTTTAAACTTGCCTTGCTTAGATCTGCTCGCATTTTTTCAGTTATTTCATTGAAGCTTGTCCATTAGAGATTCTGTCTAGCTGCATGTCTTTATGCAAGTCATGAATGCGAGATGCAAATCAGATGCTGACTGGCAGATACTTCTATGCATGTGGCAGAGACACGGGGTACAAGATCTATAGGCTGTCTAGGCTTCTGTAACCATACAACATGAGCCTTCCGAGCTGGAGATTGAACACGCTGTAGATCGACCTATGACAGTAGTATATTATTAGAGTCAAATTCAGGCAGTAGCGATGTTGATCCCGCGCATTAACTCTAAGATTGCTCACCAACCTAGCGACCGTCAACTAGGTTACGCTTAAGCTCGCGATTGACTACCTCAGTTTTACGCGTTCGCAGTCTGGTGGAGATGAAAGAGCCGTGAGAGAAAGTCTGAAGTTTTAGTTTCTCCCATTTATGTTTTGCGCAAAGGGTTTTCCAAAGATAATACATACGTTATAATTTAACATGCGCCTTTTTATTAATGAGACAAGAATGTAGAATTCGTTCGGAAAGCGCCGTGCACCTTGTTTTACCAATTTCAAGTTGCAAAGGTATATTCCTTTGCTTGGCCACATGAGAAGCGTCTCGCTAAGTTTTCGAAATTATATTGGGGTATCGTTAAAAGGTGGACTTATGATCACATAATATTGGAGAAAGACGGTCCACCCACAACTAAAAGAACACAGAAGTCGTTTTGTTTTCTAATACCGTTATCGGAGTCCTAACACGAATCCATACTAACATCCCTGCCGGGACCTGTGAAAAGTCTTTGGCACATTAATTGTCCAATGGGAGAGGAGCTGGTATAAGCCAGTGGTTCGTGTTTACCGTGTTTTCGCCCAAGTTGCAGCTGGCAGATGTGAACATCGATGCCCACTAGTCTAACAAACGTCCGCGTTTAATGCTGGCCAATAGAAGCGACTTTCAAACTGGCCATCGAGCAGTCTTGTTGTTTTCAAAATGTCCTGTGGAAGGCGATCCCAGCGTGTAGTTTCCCAAATTAATGAATTCCTCTCAGGGAAGGTTTTTTTTTTGTCGGGAATACAGCAACTTGCGAAAAATGGAAAAGATATCACATCCTGTCCTCAGGAGAAAGCCAGGTGCACAATGTTTCAACGGTTAACTCAATCATTCAAGAATTCAAAAGTTTATATCAACTATCGGGCTAGCCTAACGTCAGGCGCACTTATTGATTCACATATTGGTTTTGACTTATCACAAAATACATCCGATGAACCTTCCGCACAACCTTACAAGTGGGGAGAGGAGTGGCATGCGACGACTGAGTGCGGTCGGCGGCTTTATTCTCGATACTACACTCTTGCATTTTAACATGTTGTGATACGTATTATTAATTTAGTAGGTATATAAACTATATAGATAATCTCTGGAGGGAATCCATCAACCTTAACGACCAGTAGATTCTTGTCTCTAGCGTTCAACTTCTTTTTGGGAGTGAATATATTCTATCGAAGAGCTTCGTGGTCTGGAGTATATGCGAAGTTGCTTGATGGTAGGGTCAGATAGTGACATTGCCAAGTGTCGAAGAGCGATTGTATCAACTCGTTGCATAGACTCATTTAACTCTATAAGTGATATTAACGTTGCCTAGTGTCATTAAGGCTTCTCACTGAAGTAACACCAACGGAATGTCCTTCTTCGAGATAAAGGACTCCACACGTATCTCCCAGGATACCCCAGATAAGGCATCACACTGTCCGGCCGCATCATCACCACGACAATTTGCGTAAGCCGGTTGGGACTGAAAACATCGGGAGCAGCGCGCAATAACAGGATGCTGTGCAACATTCCTTGCTTGATGCTCTTCAATGCCTTGTAGCAGCTTTTGACCCACTGTCGAACTTCACCTTTCTGTCAGCAAGTCGGTAATAGGGCCATGAAGGACTACGAAAACGCCGGTGTATGATAAACCGACGATAAAAGTAGCGAGTGGCCGTGGCAAAATTCCGAACATCTCTAAATGCTCTTGAGGGTTCGGCGTCGCGCGATTCTTAATGATGGAGCTCTGACTTGTCTCAGGGCTCAGCGTTGCATACTCCGCTTCAGACGCAGACCACGAATCGCTAGAAAAAATGACTTGCTGTGTAAGAAAAGTACATTTCTTAGATTTAGCATAAAGTTGGCTCTTTCTCAAACAGCGGCACAACGACCTGACGCAGATGGTCGCACGTGCTGCTCACATGTGGAGAGTTACTGTAATAAGCGATATCGTCAAAGTACACAACACAAAAATTTTCCGCAGTGAAGGGGCGGAGTACTTGAGTCATCACTCTGCATAAAGGTGGGTCGGAGCAGTTAGTCAATCGCAAAGGGCAATGACCATCCATTCGTAGCAATCCATCCTTTGGTCATTAAAAAGGCGGTCTTGCCATTCATCCCGGACGGAATGCGATCTGAGTGCCAGTAAGCACTCTTTAAGATCAATCTAGAAGAGATAGTGGCTCCATGACCATAAGAGGTCAAGCATATCAGTCCAACGCGTGGAATGGGGAAGGACGCTATTTCACCACGCGTATCATTGTTAATCGCACGGCTATCCAACACACATACGCCATGTTCGCATCTT